TGATTATGTTATGCCTATGAATGATGTAGAGGTAGAAAAAAGGTTGAGAAACCGGTGGATTTTTTGCTCAACATCTTTCCCTTAATTTCATGTAACAAGTATCCGTTGAGTCAGATGGTATGCCAGTAAAAAATTAAAGACAGCCTCCCTACAATCAGGCATTCAAGGAGCTCATTATATTACAGGTGAGCCAGATGTAAAATATTACTTATGCTATGATAGAAACGTATGCATTGGGTGCTATAGGAAAGGGATAGACTTGTTAGAGCTTTCTGAGAAATTTCGAGCTTGAACTAAACCTTAAGGTTAAATAGGTGTTTTCCATATAGTCAAAGCTTAAAGAGAAGCATATATTAAGCAGAAAGAACATGGAAAAAGGGCACAGAGCTGTGAGTTTCAGTGTTTGGGGAATAAGAAATAATATTCCAATGTGGTTGAGTTATTGAAATGGTCTTGAGAGGCAGGCAGGAGTTAGATCCAAGAGAGACATATATTCTCAAAATGAATGCAGTTCTAGCCAAGAGTAAAAATTTGAGAGCTTCAAAATACAGAATTTGAAAAGCTAATGAAAAAGATGAAATGCTCTCCCCACTGGCTACCCTGTATAGTTGATCCTATAAAGAAGTGATAATTTGCCAAGGCACAGTAGCAAAAGGAACCATTAAGCTGACAATTTGCCAATAAGCATTTTAAAAAATCTCTTCTGATCTCTTTTTAGCATAACAGTATTACTACACTTAAGTATGTGTAAAAGTTCTAAGTTAAAAGGTAAAACAAGAGATGGTGAAAGCAGAAGGTATTTTTCTTTGCTGAACAAACACTTGTTATAGCACCTATTGTGTTTGCTGTGCTTTTCAAATATTAGGTTATTATTCTCATAACAACCCCATGAATTTACTACTGTTGTGATCTCGACTGTCAGAATTAGAATGTAAAATCAGATCTTCAATGCTCTGAACCACTGTATCTGCAGCCTCTGGTATGGGTGTCCCAGCTTCACAGAGAATTATTATAGAGCAGAAGTCTCAGGATAGTCTTCAGAGTATCCCAAAACTGAAATTATATGTCAAAAAGTTCCATGTGCATTCTCTAGCAAGAGAATTGATGCTTTTCATCTGTTTATCAAAAGAGTCTAAAGGACAGAACAGTTTAGCCCCACTGACCTAGAGGAGAGTTTTATGTCCTATCCTTATTAAAGGCTCCTATTGGCATAGTAAGTTCCCCAGAAGAACAAAATGTTTACAAGCCCATTCAGACTTCTTAGGCAACATTCTTCCAAATTAATTGCTTATCTGGATGATCTTTCTGGGAACTTTTCTCTAAATAACTCATGCCAGGTCCTGGATTTAAAGATTATAATTCTTTTATATTGGGATAGGGAGGCCCTGGGGTCTGTTTTGAATTCCTAGGCACAAAGGATCCTTCTGCCTTAGCCTCCTGAATAGTTGGGACTATAGGTGCACACCACCACACCAGGCTAACTTTCTGAATTTTTTGTAGAGATGCCCAGACCACCACTCTCAGCCCTGATATAAGTCTGGTTAAGAATTACTAATATTGATGGAGTGCATTGGCTTACACCTGTAATCCTAGCACTATGGAAGGCCGAGGCAGGAGGATCACTTTAGATCTGGAATTTGAGACCAACCTAAGCAAAGGAAGACCCCATCCCTACTAAAAATGGAAAAATTAGCCAGGCATGGTGGTGCATGCCTGTAGTCCTAGCCACTCAGGAGGCTGAGGTAGGAGGACTGCTTAAGCCCAGGATTTTGAGGTTGCTGTGAGCTAGGCTGAGGCCATAGCATTCTAGCCTGGGTGACAAAGCAAGAGTCTGTCTCAAAAAAACTACATACTAATATTATCTTCTGCAGGACAAGGATTAATTTTTCTACATCCTTATATCTCAAATGTTTGAGATGTAATAAAAATTAATAAATGTTTGAATGAGGGGCACATTATGGGATATGACTGCTTTATATTCAAAGTTGAGGGCAGGGGGCAGTGCCTGTGGCTCAGTGCGTAGGGCACTGGCCCCATATACCGAGGATGATGTGTTCAAGCCTGGCCATGGCCAGCTAAAACAGCAGTGGCAACTGCAACAAAAATAGCTGGGCACTGTGGCAGGCACCTGTAATCCTCGCAACTCAGGAGACTAAGGCAAGAGAATCACCCTAGCCCAAGAGCTGGAGGTTGCTGTGAGTTATGACACCACGGCACTCTACCAAGGGCAACAAAGTGAGACTCTGTCTCCAAAAAAAAAAAAAACAAAGATGAGGACAGGGACCCTGACCTAATGGCTCACACTTGGAATCCCTACACTTTAGGAGGCCACAGCAAGAGGACTGTTTGAGGTTAAGAGTTCAAGACCAACCAGGCAATATCGTGAGACCCTTGTCTCTATAAAAGTTTGTTTTTTTTTT